TTGTATCTTCTTTTATTTCTTTCTTCAGTGTTTTATAGTTTTCAGAGTACAGGTCTTTTACTTCTTTGGTTAAATTTATTCCTAAGTATTTTATAGTTTTTGAAGTGCACATCATGACTTTTGAATGATGTTCTTCACCAGAACTTACAGAAGCTCTTCTGGCACTGGTTCTCAACTATTGGCTATGCAATAAATTCAGTGTGGAGTTTTAAAAATTCCTGATGCCTAGGTCATCTCATATTCTAAAATAATTCATCCTGTGTGACTTTAACAGTGCTCCCTTTTATTCTCATGTGCAGCCAGGGTTGAGAATCACTGATTAAAGCATTTCTGCCAGATGTGAAGGACTCCCACAGTCCAAGGCTGCACTGGCTACTGGACCACACCTCCCTGGAGCCCCGCTACACTCAAACTGGGCTCCTTTTACATCTGAATAAGAACTCTGTGATGTTGTTTTCGCTCTCTTCCCCATCCTGCTCTCATCCTTCAAGTCCTAGTTCAAATCCCCAAGCCCCTCCGGGAGCCTCCCCGATCTAGTCCAGAGACAGTTCTCTCCTCTGCTCTGTTATTGCTTACTGCAGGCTGGTATCATTGGTTGTACCACCTCACCTAATACTGTGTCATTAAATCATCCAGTCTGGTTCTCCATGTTTTTTTTTTTTGTGCCTAAGGAAAGTACAAGGCACTTCATTTTGTTCCTTTCATAAATTCCCTTGCACTCATGCAGGAAATGCTTCAGGAGTAATTTGCAATTGATTTAGAGTCTTGGATATAAATTTTTTAAACTTTTTGAAAAATTTGACAAATAACATTTGCAATGTGCATTTTGTATGAGTGTTGTTGTATTTACAGGGGAAATATATACATGCAAATTTAAATTTTAAAATAGAAGGCTTTTACACTAATAGAAAGATCTGGAATCTCTCCTCTGAAGAACATAGAGAGTAGTTGCCATTGATTCATATCAAGCAAGGCATAATAAGGCTTATTTCTAGGCCTCGTGCATTTAATATTCATCTATTCTCCTTAAGTATGCTTTCTCAGGGAAGACGATGAGGGTAGGGATGGTTCTCATCTTATTTGTAGCTTTGGGAACATTTGTAGCAGTCCTGTAAATGTGTACAAATGTGGNCAGCCATCAACCTGTCCACTGTCCCATCCACATGTCATTGCCACCCTCCTCCTGATGCAATGTTTTTTTAACACCATCTATAAATATTCCAATGCTCTCCAGAATATAAGGACTTTAAAAACTACATAACTACAAGCCATGAACACTTTCACAAATCCACATATTTTCTTAATATAATAAAATATTGAGGAATCATATTTGAATAGAACATAGTTTTAACCTTCAAGGAATTTATAGCCCAATGGAACAGACAGACAAGGAAATCAGTGATGAGTAGAGTAGCATCATATTCCCGTGTAAATCATCTGATTTATGCTATTCTATGGGAGAGAGGAAGACAAACTGAGTGGCCAGGGAAGAGGATGGGAAGGAATTAAAGAAAAAGGAATGAAAGGGAAGGGAAGGGAAGGGAAAGAAAAAATAACAATTAAACTAAAGGGAGGCATTATTCCTGCTTCCTTCCTCCGTGAGCACGTGACCAACATGAGTTTGAGAGGAAGCGGGAACCCACTTTTTCTTCAATCAGTCTAATTTCCTCCTTGTGCTTCAGAGTGTGAACATATCACTTCCCTGAATGTAATTTTAGCATTTAAAGATAAATTTTCCTATAAAAAGTCTTCATCTCATGTTGTCAATGAGACTGAAAGCTCCTATAGCATAAGGAGACTGGACAGGATCTGTAGCTTACAATTCTCACAGCAAAATAACTATAGTAGCATCTCAATGACTAGCCCACAGAAGGATCCTATATACTGCTGGTTGAGGAGTATGAGTGGGAACCCCAAACATGTAAGTCTTGTGGTGTTTATGTTTCATTAACTTGTTTTCATCTTCTGTTGTTGAACCAGGTTCAGTAAGCAGAACAAGGACAGCATAAATCCTTATATATACCTGCCCTTTGGAACTGGACCCCGAAACTGCATTGGCATGAGGTTTGCTCTCATGAACATGAAAGTTGCTGTTGTCCAAGTCCTGCAGAATTTCTCCTTCAAACCTTGCAAAGAAACACAGGTCAGTTAACCTTCTGCATACATAATTCTTTACTGGGGGATTTTTCTTACGGGGGATATATNACAGGAAGGGGTGGAGAATTGGCATCAGTGGTGCAATGTAGCCCCTTGGGTAAATGCTGCAGACTAGGAGAAGCCTGGTATACAAGAAAGAGCATAGGGTAGGAGAGAGAAGACATGAGTTTGAGTTCATACTGTGGTTTTAGACAAGTCTTATGACCTTTCTGAGTTATAGGTCCTTCAGATATAGGGTAAACATTTTAGTGCCTATCTAAACTAGATTACCTTTCTTTTCTGGGAAAGCTCACATTACGATTCTTTTGATTGTAATAAGATGGAAAGGTCACTAAGAGAGAGAGGCTACCTAAAGCATTGTGTTCTGCCCTTTTTATAGTAATTGCAATAAAAACAACATTAAAAGTAACATATGCTTCTTACTATACACCTATTCTTAATGCCTTGTATTTATAAATGAATTTAATCTTAAAAATATTCTGTATTAGTCAGGATAGGCTAGGCTATTTCTCAATAACAGATTGGCCCTTAAGTCTGAATGGCTTTCCATAGCAAAAATTTGCTTCTTACTCACATTTGCATTTCCAACATGGCTTGTAAGTAGAGGATGAGAGTAGGACTCTCTGTTCCACATTTTACCTGAAAATATAGGCAAAAGAGGTTCCACTTTCTTGTAGCTGCACTGTCTGGAACACAATGCCTTCATGTGGCTTGGGAATAAAAAACTAGAGTGTTGCTCATTAGATTTTCAAATGTTTTGGCTTCAAAGTGACATACACCACCTCAGCTCACAGCCCATTCACAAAGTTGGTTTCCTTAACTTCAAGTGTCCTTGGAGATATGGGAGAATACAAGGATACTGGGTGAGCAGTGAATGTCTCTCCCACACAA